ATTACGGGTCAAGGCTCAATCTGAGACATTCAATGGTGAACTGAAGGAATTGAAAACAGTTGCCAAACAACGACACGTTCTGTTTGTTCAGGATGTCAAAACTGTTCGAAAAGATATCAATTGAAAGCTTGAAGAGTTAAGGTCAAACATGGAAAAGGAATTACAGGAAGTGACAAATAGCTACTCTTCAATTCTCGAGAAGGTTGATATTATTGTTGGGGCTGTAGCAAAAATAGCTCAATCTTACAACTTTATGCTTCCGAAGATGGATGCACAGGCTGAGTTGGAAATGAAACATTTTGGAAATATTTATGCCTTGCTAGGTGAATTGAAGACCATGGTTTCGAGTTCAAGTTCTTCTTCGCTATTCACTCCTGAGTTTTTAACTCAGAAGTTTCGTCTGCTTGAGTCAACAATTCATTCTGAATTGGCTCCGCTTTCGAAACTGTTAAACTTACTTCCAACGGATGCCCCACCTGTAGTTACAGGGGTGCAAGGGGGAGAAAGAAAAGTGGTTGGAGTAAGTAAAGGCGAAGGAGCTACTTGGAAGTCAAGTGGAGATGTTAGTGGTGATGCAAAAATTGTGGGAAAAGTCGTGACAACTCAAATTCCAACAACTCTACCAGTGAAGACTATTCCAATAATCTCAACAACAATAACAACAAGACCTTTGGAAAAAGGGATTGTTATTGGTGGTTCAGGTTCAACTTCGAAACCCACACCCACTGAAGCTGATAAAGGGAAAGGAAAAATAATTGTTGTTGAAAAGTCGAAGGAAGAAAGAAAAGCAGAGATTGAAGTTGAAATGGAAAAACAACAGCATATTCAAAGTATTCTCAGAATTTGTCAGAATGATCCTCCAACTCTGAACAAAGGTGATCCCAGAAAACTGCATAGCTATGAGAATATTGAAGCTATGGTAGTTCATGGAAAAATGCAAGACTTTGAGAAGAAACCAAAGAAGAGTTATGCAACTGATAACTCAGATAAGAATCAGCTTGATTTTCCTATCAACAAGATGATGTATCATACTTCGCAATATCATATTGCTGACAAGTTTTATGACAATGAAGAGTTCAACAAATTAAAGTTCCAATTCTGTGCAGTACTTGGGAAAGAAGAAGAAGAAGAAAAAGTGTGGTCACTCATTAAGATAGTTCGAGTTTTGAATACATATAAAGATGTTTTATTCGAGGGTGTACTTCAAAACTTTCTATATCATGTTATCAGGGAAAACAATACCAAATTCGCCATTACTGTTGCTGACTTTCCACTTATGAATCTGAATGACTTGATCTCAGTCACGAAGATTCTTAAGGTCAACAATGAAATGAAACTTCATAGTACAAGCAAAGAATATTATTTGTTGGGTCTTGCTCATATCAAGACTTTCATAGAAAATTATTTCGATTGTCTAGCCTTAAAGTTAATATTTTTCAAATTATTCAATATGAAAATAGCTCAGGTTGATACCTTTCTAAAGACTACTCGCACGCATTCATACGATTTTTCTACAATTTTTGGCAATTTTTACAAAACTGCCTATCATTTCAGAAATGATTTCGGACCAGTCTGTGAAGATGAACATTTTCACACTGGTTTGAGACCACTAGAAATTATAATAAAAATTATGAACAAAGTAGACACATTTTCTAAACTCTCAAAGTTTACAGATCCAAATTTCGACTTAAAATGAGTTTTCTATAATTTTTCTAAAAACATGGATAGAAAAGTCAAAAACTAGAAATTGACTTTATCATACTAAAAGTTCTTATACTTGTGTTAGATGTAAGTTTATATGATTATTATTTTAAAACATCAAGACATGTTAACTTTTCAAACAAACATAATAAAATATTATCGGTATAGTTTGGAGGTCACAAACCACACTTTTCAAAGGTACACATAACTATTTAAAGGCATAATTATCTTATTTTGCAAGTAAAAGGGAGTCATAGTTCACGTAAATCTGTTAAGGCTCTTGTGAGACTTTCCTTCGCCGTACCTACCTAGCGTATACCGTAAGTCCTATAGTTATAACCAGAGTCTCCTGGAGGGAGAGTGAGGTAATTGTGTATAGATCTATACGGGGTTGACACCCCCACACCTGAGCTGTTCACTACAGCTAGACGGGGTCAGTCTAGGGTGACAAATATCTTACCGAAACTGACGCCTGAAGAACGGCACCACAAGCATATCAGTCACATGAAGCATGGTTATAGTGACTCACATAGAGAATAACAATACGAGTTTTGGTTACGGGAAGCTTACACTTCATCGGTTTTATTAAACTATAAAACTGCAAATTATTTTTCAAGTATTCAGTCTCTTACACTTCCGGTCTTAGGGTTTAAGACTACAGTTTTTCTTACATCAGAAAATATTGGATTTTCTGGGAACGTTCGCTTTACTTTTACAAACAAAAGATAACAAAGGACATGCATGCATATAATCACAGTTTTGAAACGAGACTTACAACTCATTTTCATAAAAAAATATCGGATTTTCTGAAAGTACTACAAGAACTATTCTAAACAAGCACAAAACCATTTTTATACAAAAATGCTTATAAACTCACCAACTTTTTAGTTGACGTTTTTCAAAACGACTTGTATTCTCAGGGAACCAGTAACATGTAATCAGCTCTGCTATGAGATCAAGTAGTGCGACTTCATGAAATTTTACTTCTTGTCACTTTTGTGTAACTGATGAACAGGTACAAAATGAAAACTATGTACGTGTGTATTTTCAATGTATGTCGCTTGGAATGCTATGTTTCATTCATATTCAATTGTTATGATACTGTACAATAACGTCATCCGCCCCCGGATGTTTCCGCCGTCCTGGTTCGGGGGTGTGACAGGTTAGTTGGTAGCGGAGCAGTGTGCCATGAGAGGAGTAGTTGGCGATAGTGAGATGTATGATTGATAATTGCATGTATTATGTGCCTACTTGATCCTTGATTATTTATATGTTGACATATGGTGGCGGGATAGGTTGAGGCGGTCCTGCTATGTGATATAGGCCATGATACCTCGTGTGGGCCGACTGTAAGTCGTAGGCACGGAGGCTCGAGAAGAGCGATTGGGTTGATGCGGAAGAACAACAAACATTGGGTATTCCAGTCTGATGACGGATTGGACTCGTTGCATGTTGGCATTCTAGTCTGATGACTGATTGGGCCAGGGTATTCCAGCCTGATGAGTGTGGGCCAATTATGCATGATAGTACGTTTGTTATATGGTATTTTGGGGGAAACTCACTAAGCTTCGTGCTCACCTAGTTTTTTTATGTTTTTTAGGTTCTATCGTTGATCGTGGGAAGGCGAATGCAAGACTATACACACTCATGAACAGTATTGAGGATTCCGCGTTTCTTATAATACTCTGAATTTCGATAAATCTATTTTGGACTAAACAGTTTTTCTTAATAATGAATTTATAATTAGGGAGTTTTGTCTTATTAAAAAATGAAAATTATTTGTTGTGAAAATTGGACGTTACACATAAGCATCAAAAGCCTCAAACATCTCATTAATGATTGTCTCACGTAAGATGTCGTGGGAAAAACCTAAAGAAATCATTCATGAGTACTGAATGAGTACAAAAACAAAAATGTCTTATTTTGAAACAAAAATATATTAAGGACTAAATGTGTACAAAAATATTAAGGACTAAATGTGTACAAAATGAGAAATATATTACTCTATTAAATCATTTTTCCCGGCTAACCTGGAGTAACCGGTCATAAGGACTGCATGTGCATAGTTTAACAAGTTGAAGGGGTAAATGTAGACGAAAAAAAACTCAGTGACCAAATATATACAAATTGAAAAATATATGACATTTTTAAGTCGTTATGCATTTGTTAATTTCATAAAAAAAAACTTTTATAAAAAGTTAACAGTTGAGAAACGCTTTTAAGATAAAAGTGTTTTACTATATAAAAGATGGTGAAAAAATAATATATTAATGTTTACCACGATAGCACAATTCATGTCGCAATGCCCAAACTTAGGAATGTCAACGAGGGCAAACGGGACAGAAACTGCATCCGCACCCCCACCGTTGAAATTTTCTCATTCACCCGCCCTCGTCCCCGGAATTTCCAGCCTCCTAACCCATGCCCCCGAATTCTTGGATTATCCCCCGTCCTCGTTTTTTCGCCCCGATTGATTTTTGGATATTTTTTTATTGGGCTAAAATTAGTTTTTTTTTTTTTTGCTTAAAAATACTATTTATAACATAATTTCACATGTTAAAAACAAAAATGCTATCACATCTCAAAAATTTATACTAACAACTTAAAATATGATTTTTTGTTGAATTTTAAAAGCTCAAAATCATTACTATTATTTTTTATATCTATATAATTTAATATATATAAATAAATATAATATATTAACAGGAACCTCATGTGGGATTCTGGACGAGACTGCCCACCCCCATCCCTGCCCCCGAAATTAAAACGGAGGTTAACCTTACCGTCGCCTCCGCCCCCGCCCCGATTTCCTTAACAAATATCCCCATATAGGACCAGGACCCCACGGGTTCGGGTCCTACGTAACTTTTTGACATCCGTACCCAAACTTTCATATTACTACATTCTCTGATTCTCATTTTCTTAGGATCAGGGTTTTTTTTTCATATATATAGATTTAGTTTGTTTTTATATTTCGTGTTTAATTTGGCGATTAGTAACTTCAAATATACACCTAGCATAATACATTTAAAAGTATATGTTTTATTTTTCAAAACTCAGTGTAATGTTTACCAACTTTTTTCTTTTGCAAAGTGTAATTATAAACTTTTTACATTTTTTATAACATTAATTATTTATCTAAAAAGTAAAAATAACCATCTAAATCGCATAAAATTAAAACTAATATTTCTTAGTTTCTTCCAGTTAATGCAAGGTTATCAACTTTCAATATCGATTTTCAAGATCATTTACAGAATTCATAGAAACCAAACAAATCTTTTAAAGATTCAACGATCAAATCAACACAAGAAGCAATATTTTGGAGATGTAACTCCAAGTGATCTCATTTCCCTTGCTCTTTCTTTTACCTTTTTCTCATGATTTCGTGTTGTGTCTTCTGCTTGCGATCTAGCGCCTCCAGCTACATGATCAATCCTCGCCAGCTTGTTCTGGTAATGCTGCCAATTGATCGATCTTTTCTGTTCCAATTCTTTCTGTTTAAAAGCATATAAATTTAGTCATTTACTCATTATATTGATTTTGTGTAAAAAAAAAAACGTGAGCCGAACCTTTTTCTCTTCCACTCGACGTTTAGCCCTTGCTTTCTTCTCGTTTTCCCATTGAAGAATTGTTAGGTTACTCTTCTCATATCTGGGATTTTTTTTCATTTTATAGAACATTAATGGAAAGAAAAAATTCAAAAGAAATTGCTTAGAAGAACGGGTTTTTGGTACCGGTTTTGAATCTTTAGCAATTTGGCTTTTTCCCATGCATCAACTTTGGTGTTTCCACTTCCATATATGCTTAAACTCCTATTAGCATAAGCCTCTCTAGGCCTACTTGGTCTTGAGAACGATGGAGCTTTATCTGCCTGACTCATATTGGTTTTCATGGAAGCTTCAACTAACATAACAGGTTAGTTAAGCTTGACTATCTCTATGGCTCTCATGTAAAAGATGAAAAGTGAAAACGTATTTTGTAACACATGGCATTACCTTCTTCTCTACTTTTCTCTTTTCTCTGAAACTGAGAGATCGCTTTTTCTTCCAATGAATGTATAGCGAAAGTGGCTGCAGCTATGGCAGCCATATGTTCATCGTCGATGGAAACATAATCTTGACTATTTCTTTGATGGCACCAGTTCGGTGATCTCTTATCTACAAACGAAAACCAATGTCGATCAAAATGCTAAGCTTTTTTGTTCTTTTAACATTTTCCAACCTTAACTTCTAGAATTATTCTTGCTGGAAGGTTTTCTAAAACAAACAACCAGAATCTTAAATCTGGAATCATGAAGAATCAAACCTTTGGAGAACGATTCTTTGTTATCACGCTGTAGAAGCTCCGAAAATGAAACCCTAAATAAAGAAACATTGGTTTAATTAATAAATTAACAAAAGTTATACTATGAGATGAAATAAATCGACTACGATCATATACAGATTCATTACCTTCGTTGTTTGATCATATTCTCCATTCTTAGCAACTCTAAGAAGATAGGAAAAGATGATGGGGGAGGGAAGGGTTTTGTAAGATGAAGAAACCCTAAAAGGGAAGTTACTGTACCTGTTTATGAACAATGGAGGAAGGCAAGAAAAGTGTCACATGGTGGGTAGCAAATTAAGTTTCTGTTTGTTAGGATTGAAAGGCTGGAGAGGGAGCAAAGTATCTCGCTTTTGAATGTCTAAACTACAAATCCATCAACCTAACCTTTCCCAAAGCTTTTCTACCTTTTAGATAATGCTCAGAATGTAGTTTTCCCTCTTGGGATTTAGTACAACTCTTCCTCCACCAACAACGATTGCAGAAAATGAAAATGATCAAAATAATAGTCAACCAATAATTGCCGACTAACAATATTCAAATGAATTTCGAAACAGAACCAAAAAAATAAATAATAATAAGCACAGAAAAGACACGACAAAACATAAATTTATGTTGTTCCACTATCGAGATGATAGTGTAGTCCACACGAGAAGAGAAGATTTTATATTCTAAAGAGAACGAAAAACGAGCAATTACGAAACAATAAACCTAATAGCAACTTATTGTGAAGGTAACCTACTACGATAACCTCCCGCCCAACATGATTATAAAGTGTTTCCTGAACCCACTAAATCAAAGCAATAATCATTTGATGAGTAACACTCACCAATAATAATAATAATAATAATAATAATAATAATAATAATAATAAAAGAAAAAATAATAATAATAAGGCACTCCATGATTTTGAGTTTTCGAAATTGTCTTTAAAATCTATAAAGTTGTCTAACGATAAAGAGCATGGGTTCAAGTTGCCCTTGTCTATGATATCAAAGGGAAATTCTACTATAACTTTTGATATAAATTAGGCTTTAGAATGGCCCAAAAGATGTAGGAACAAAAATCATGGCCATAAAGGTCCGGATGATAAGAGATTAAGAGATAAGGCATGAAACAATCAAAAAACTGTTTCACAATGTCCATCAGAAGTAGCATTGGTCAGCCCAAAAAGCCCAAGGGCGTCCTTCATTTTAATTTCTTTAATTTCTGTTTTCAAAATAGTCATCCTTCATTTTATTTCACTTTTTTTTTCAAAATAAAATTATTTAAATTTTAAAAATTATAATCAACAAATATATAAAATAATTAAAATAACAAATAAACATAAAAATTAATAAAAATAAAATATTTCACTAAATAAAAATAAAAATACATAATAAACCAAGAAAATAAAATTTAAAATTACATAATTAAAAAAAACTACATCACACCAAATCGTCTTCTGAATCCTCAACGAACATATCCGAATATTCATCTAGTTCATCAAACAAATCAATGTGTCACTCCTCGACTTCCGGTTGTATGTTAATCAATGTAAGTATGTTACACCAAATCAACACGAAATGAGTAATGAATGTCGCGATCATATACTTCTCTTTTGTTCACCATATACAACTGCATACAAAAAACTACTCCTTCGTCAGTTAAAAAAATCCGTTTTCATCGTAGCAGCATATTTTTTTCCTTCATCTTCTAAAATCATATTTTGCAATATGATGCACGCGAACATTATATTTTGCAACCTTGCAACTTCATATGTCCATCCTCCAAATCACCAACAACACATAAAAATAACCTTCTTCATTCGGAACTGTCTTCGAAACTTTTTAGTGTACACAACATCATCCGTAAAATAGTCTTGTATAAGACGATTGTACCCGATTTCGCGATTTCTCTTCAACGAAAGTCTTCTCACTCAAAAATATAAACTTTGACCTTCTCGATTTTGGAAATAGGCGGTTGATTTTGTAATAACATAATTGAAAAACACTGATTCTTCTAAAGCCATCAAATCTGAAGAACTAGATGGTAATGAAGACATTCTAGTTGAATGGTTTTTTTGAGAGAAAATATAAAAACTGATATGAGAAAAATGTTGTAAGTGTTTTGTATTTTTAGAGTGGTAAAGTGATATATATATATATATATATATATATATATATATATATATATATATATATATATATATATATATAATTGCTAGGATCCAGACCATGGTCTTGCATACAATTGTCAGGAGCACATCCTAGTATTTCATACAATTGTCTGGGGCGACTACCTGGTTTTCCTACATTATATAGTGATAAAACTTACGTGTCTTACAAATTCGGCTAAAACTTAGCTCAATCCCATGCAATCCACATCTAACAGTTCTCTCAGCCAATGAATGGGTGCTAAACATCTACTACTAATCATATGAGGTAAACCCTAAGTCTACCTTCTAAAAATAGAATTTTGACCAAAAGTCAGACCATGCCAAAATTCCACACTCAAAATTCAATTGTCAAATTCAACGGCAATGAGCCTCCACGTTGTGGCCTCCTTTGGGCCACACCGTAGCATGAAAACGAAAAAACAATCAGGTGCTCCCCCGGTCACCACGTCGTGGCAGCCAAAAGGCCACAACGTGGGAGCTGGGCCTAAACAACTTAATGGATTAAATTATTTTCCTTCGACCTTAAGAGCTCCAAAGCTCAAATCTGGTACCCTCTAAGGTCTTGATGGATAAAGTTTTCAACTTTATTCATTAAGACATCTCAACAAGAAAAATCCTCTAAACCTAAGTTCTTAATGGCCTCATGAAGCATGAACTTATCCATTAAGTTATTAATCACCAAAGTCAATCATCCATATTGTAACGCCCAGTTCAGGTAATCATCTTGTTGAGTGATTAAATTAATTTTTGGGCTCAAACCTAGGTTATGACGTGAGCACTTGTGTGTCACGACGTGACGTGGCCTCTCAAAACGTGCATCATTCTTAGGGCTCATGACGTGACCATATATGGGTCATGAAGTGAGTTTGACTGCGAGGAAAACCCTAATTTTCGGGGCTTTCCCCATATTTAAAGGAAGTGAGGGCTAGGGTTAGCCCTCCCGCAGCCTCTATCACCTCCTAATACCCCCCCCCCCCTGAAACCCTAACACTCCATAGTTGATTTTGATCTCATTTGTGGTGATTTATAGCAAATAAGAAGAATAGGAAGAGCATATAGTATACCATCTCAACATTCAAGCCTCACCATCATTCATCTTCACACCTTGTGGACCCTTGTGAGTTTTCATGTTCAATGTTTTATGAGTCAATAAGCTTAGATCTAGGTTTTTATGCATTATCTTTCATGTCTAGGTTGATATAGGGTTTGGGGTACATAAAGTAGCCAACTTTATGGATATTTAGTGTCCCTTTGGTGAAATAAATGTTGGATCTGAAGTATGGTTGGGTTTTTAGACTCTTGCATGATCTCCTAATGCAATTTCTTCCTTTTTGTGCCCTAGATTGTGTTTGGAACAAGCATTGGACATGCATGTCCAAAAAGCCACGATCATTATGATGTGTTAAAGAAGATAAGACATCCTGGAAGTTTTGGTTTCTTGTCTGAAAGGATTGAGAACTTATTACATCAAGTTGTTCAGAGCGTTCTCACGATGTGAGAACTTATGGCTCATGACGTAAGAATAGAATGACCCGATTACTTTGTCTTACTAGGTCACGACGTGACGACTAGCTGACCAACCTTAGATTGTGGATTTTGGCCTTGACCGTTGACTTTGACCGTTGACCAAGTTAGACTTTAAGTCAAATAGAGTAATTTGAGTAGTAAATTGAGGTTTGGTCCCTATTTGTCATATAGGTTGTAACGTCCGCAAATTCGAACTAGTCAATTAAATAGAATAAGCTATAAAAATAACTTTTTATCGAAGGTTATTTAGGATAAATTACCTCAACCAAAGTTATAGTGTATGTGACAAGGGTTCCGTACATATAAATAACATTGAAATCCGACTTCGTATGAAGAAGTTATGCTTCTTCTAAGTTCGCGATTAAATCAGCATGACTCTACGTATCGAAAAAAATGAATTTTCGATAGACTTCTTTTTAGGCTAACTGATCTAAACGAAAGTCGTAGTAGTCGTTAAACCGAGAGTGTGCATATAGAGAGCTTCCAAATCTAATTTCGTAAGAGAAAGTTATGATTTTTCGAAGTTTCGGCACAACAATATACGGCTCAAAAACCGAAGTAGAGATCGGTTGATTGTTATGAAAAACAATCTAAACGAGAGTTGAAGATCTCGTCCATATGGTTCCGTCAATATAAAGACAGTCAAGACTGATATTATATAAGAAATTTATGAATTTTTAACGGACTTTAATAGTCTAAGCCTGTGAAAAATATAGCTTTAAAAATAAAGTCAAAATTAGCCGATGGAGTCTAAATGAAAGTTGTAGATGTCGTCGAGAGCTTTCTGGGAAGATAAAGAACAACTAGAACGGAGCTCGCATGAAGAAGTTACGACATTTTGAAAATATGAAAATTCGTGCACGTGCAATTTGCGCCACGAGCACTGATGACGTGGCACCACGAGAAGGCGCCACATGGCATGGTCGGGAGCCACTTCATCCAAGAGACACGTGACGTGGCCTAAGAAAAATGCAACACATGACACCACAAAAAGGTGACACGTGGTGGCTTCTAGAAGAAGGATGGGTGGAAGCATCAGACGACGACACATGGCACAAGGCTGGAGGAGCCAGCAAGGCTGCTATGCACAGCCCCCCCCCCCCTTTGTGTGCCTATGAATTAATGTCGAAGATCCTATTTATTCCTCACTACTTCTCCAAATCTCTCTAAAAAACCTTTCCAAATTAAAGTCCGACTTTCTTCTAACTTTTAGGTTGTTTTAGTAGGAACTTTGGAGCACTAGGAGCCCGACAAAAGAAGTACTTGGTTCGAGATTATGTCCGCGTAATTTTCCCGGCTTTTGCTTAAAAGCTCTATAAGTTAAGCTACACTCTATCGCTTTCAGTGTAACTTATATTTATGATCATAAGTCCTTATTATGAACCTATAAATGAGATTTACCACTAATTCCAATTCGTTATACTGATTGATCTACTTACGGGAGAGGTGTCTAGAATGATCACATTGGCTTGGTTGTTAGATTTCAAAAAAGCTATTATGTCAAAATAATCCTGCCTCCCAAGTGTCTTGCCTGGCTGATCCTTACTTGATAGATCTTGATGTAGACGTTGGGATTAGTGAGGATCTAGACTATTATTAGTCACCAGGATCATTAGATTAAAACCTTGAATTATTTATACTTAGGTCACGTCAAGGAATATCTAAGGTTTTAGGAGAAACTCTGCCCAGATCTCCAGCCACCCATCTAAGTCATGTGAGTGTATAGTCCATTTCATGAACATGATTTAATATAAGTATTAATTTAAATATTAAATATCTG